CTGAAGTAAAAATGAGTTACTGCAGAATCTGAAACAAAAGGGGTAAAACAAAAAGACCCTTTATCAAAACAGGTTTAATTCAAACATCAATTGTCACTTCTATCTGTAGATGCTATAATAATAAAGGGTCTTTTTGTTTTAAACTTTGCTATTGTTGGCAAAGTCAGCCTTATTTCAGGAGAAAGCTGGAGAAATTGCAGCTGAGAAATGACGAAATCTTGCCAGCCTAGAGATCCATCCATCCAGCCGTTGCTTTGTAAATTTGACAGATCATCTGCAAAGGTGGAATACTGCAACCTTATACCTTTTGTAAAGCCATTGTTTATTAAAGTTAATGTACAATGAGGAGTAATAAATCTGTAAATAGGTTCTAATATTTTAAAAACAGCATGTTATTAAAATGAGGGGCTCTTCATCCCCTGAAATATTTTTCAATGTTCCTCTCTACACTGGGAAGACTTTACCAACTGCGTTGCTGATGTAATATAGTCAGGAAATTCCACAACTGTATTAAAGTTTGCATGTACAAGTCATTTTGATTTAATTGTGGAATGTGGCATTTCTGGCTAGGTCACCATTTATTGCCCATCCCTAATTCCTTTTGAAAAGGAGGAAGTGAGTTGTCACCTTGAAGCATTACTATGGTGTAGTTACATTCCCTGAGTTGCTAGGAAGGGATTTCCAGGGTTTTGACCCACCGATGGTGGAGGAACCCCTATATAGTTCCAAGTCAGGATCATGTGTAGTTTGCAGGGGACCGTTGCAAGGGTCCTGGGTTTCTGTTTCTAGGTGATACCAGTCATGAGTTTGGAAGGTGATTTGGTTCAGTACAATTTGTAGATGCTACCCACTGATGCAGCTGAGCATTGGTAGCGCAGGGTGTGAATGTTGAAGGTGTTAGAAGGGTCACCATTCAAGCTTATCCTGGATAGTATCATGCTTCTTGAATTGTTGGAGCTGCACTGATCCAGGCAAGTGGGAAATATTCCTTCACGCTCCTGACTTGTGCCTTGTAGGTAGTGGACAGGCTTTGACGAGTCAGAAGGTATGTCCCTTGCCATGGAATTCCCTGCCAGTTATAGATAAAATTAAAATATGAACAATGTAACTGAGGATAATGCGTGGCTCACTTTCACTCCAGCAGGAAATCTTAGAATGTCATTTGTAAATTCAAACATTTATTGTGTTTGGTTTCTCTTTCCAAATCCAAGATCTTATTTTTTAGCAGTTCTGAAAGAAGTACGAGTATTAAAATTCAGAAAAATACACAACAAATATTCTTTGCAGATTAATTATTTTCAAATGTGATAATAATTTTGGCTTTTTGGTGATGCATCACAGATTCTCAAGTGAGAGGGTAGAGAAGATGGAGATGGAGGGCAGGAAAGATTAAATTGACAAAGCTTTTGTGGTTCAAAAGCCAAATGGAGTAGTTATAATGTAAATTGGAGTAACAAAAGCTGTCTCTGGGAGATTTGTGAATGGCAGAATCAAACCTGCCCAATTGCAAATCAAACATATTAAGAAAGAAACAAGAGAAAAGCTGAACCAGCAAAAAAAAGATACAAAACAAGTGACAGATGACCTGGACTCTAATTGAATGGAATCCTTTTTTGTTGCAAAAGGATGGAGTGTAATTGCCACATGGGTACAATCTCCTTGCTCTTTGGGGAATCCAGCAATGTTTGCAAAGCCTTTAACTCTTTCAATTTCACTGGTCTGCCCTGTGCTAAATGCAATGAATTCACTAGTACGCCTGAAGTGTCACTACCTTGATACAATGACAGGCTGTTGGTTGCGAGATGCCCAAAAGCTGTTGGCTGATGCCTGGAAAGACCGAGATGCAATAATGTTTAAGGCCAGTGGCACCTTCAAAGTGACAGGTATAGAGTGGCCACTAATACACCTGGAAAATATCTTCCAACCAACATGTCACAAAGTGAGATAACAAGGTGTAGAGCTGGATGAACACAGCAGGCCAAGCAGCATCAGCGGAGCAGGAAAGCTGATGTTTCGGGCCTAGACCCTGCTTCAGAAATGGGGGAGGGGAAGGGGATTCTGGAATAAATAGGGAGAGGAGGGGAGGCGGATAGAAGATGGATAAAGGAGAAGAT